TTTGAGTTAGGGAAAATTCTTTTTACTTTTTCAAATCTAGAATGCCAGCGGTGCATCTCGAAAGACAAGCCCACCCAGAGCTTCCCTACCCACTCCCCTTCACCGTGAGCCACAGCAGTGGGCGTGGCATCACTGGCCACTTGCTTCCTCCAGAGCAACAGTTCCAACCTGTGGAAGCCACGGAGTTACTGCCAGAAGGTTTCGGAAAGCACTAAATAAATGTCATACATACGTGTTCTACTTGTTTTAAAGTGTATATTGATGCATACATTTATTTCTCTAATAATGTTTGTTAACACAATTCCAATTATCTTCCTAACATTATGCAATTTCTCAGATAGGGGGCCCTACAAGCACACTTATTTTCATGTGGGAGCCTGAGAAATATATCAATATTGCATCTCCAAACACCTTCTAAGTAACAGAACAGGTACCTGGTTAAAAGAGGGAAGGACGGAACCTAGTCAGCACAAGCACAGGCCACAGTGAGGGTGGGAGCCACAGCAAGTCAACACAACATTTGAAAACTGTCTCTACTATCAAAATATTTACTAATTTAATGATTATAAATGCAAACTTTGCCAAGAAGCTAAAATGGAAAAATCTTAGCTTCGCTTTTCTTATCTTTTCAAAGCATAAACCTAAAGATTTTTAAAAGGTTGATACCAAAAGCTGAGTTATTTACTTAAGGTTTTATAGATTTTCCTCTGTTAATTATTGCTTGCTATACTTTAGAAACAATTTATACAGAATGTATATTAGTTAAAAAAGACAAATTACAATTAAATTAAAATGTTTTGGGTTTATTTTTAAACCTAGTTATGTGAATGCTTTTTTTTTTATACACACAGACACACATTCAATTTTTTTTTCTCAAATGGTTTCAGAAAAGGACTGACTTGGGCAAATACAATTAGTATAGGACTATGGGTTCAAAATGCAAAAATACTAGGAACACAAGAAAAGCAGACTGTAAAAAAATAAGAATTATAATCAGAAATAAAAATACAACTCCAGGTATTAGTAATACTTTAGGTTAGAGTACATGTATTATGTATGTAAAATAATGCTATATTTATAATGGATGCTTAATGAATGCTTATTCTTAAAAGACTGGTATTACTACGTGGCTATGTGGGCACTATCAGACACTGAGGAAGTTAAGAGGACTAAAGACTGTACAACCTGTCCATAAGACACTTTCAACAGAAATTTATAGTGCTTCTTTCCCAGACACATCTTTTATGCTTATAATATAAATCAAAATATAGACCTCAAAATTGAAAATACATTTTTCTATAGACACATAGCTACTAATAATTTTTACTGACATTCTCTAAATACACTATTGTCTAAAATAATTTATATCCTAAGCACATTCCAGCGTATGTAATCTAAAATTGTTTTTGTTTCTTTTGCTGTTAGGACTCTAATAAACGAGTTACCAAGTACTATCAGTTTCTTTTAGAAAAAGATTTATTACCTAGCCCATTAAAGAAGCAAGATACTTCAATATACATGAAAATGAAATACTTTTGAAATGAGATACTTTCAAAAATGAAAATATTCAATGATAGTAAAAGTGAAGATCGACAGGCATTCTCGTTAACTGAGAGTACAAATACAGCCTCTCTAGAAGGCAAGGATTTAGATGTAAGGATGTTTATTTTAGCAGTTTTCATAATAATCAAAACTGAAACAAAGTAAGAAATTAGTAATAGAAACAGTCAAATAAATTATGGTGTATACCTACGAGAAAAATAGAACCTTATATCCACAGGATGGAAAAACTGAACTGAATTAACAAAACTCAATGGAACTTACATAGAATTAACAGAATATGGGGAAATGCGCATGATCTGTGCACTGCATTAAGCGAAAAAAAGCAGGACCAAAATCTCTATATATGGTAAGACTTTATATATATAGTTATTGACTTCATACAAAGTATATTTTAGAAAAAGACTCAAAAATAATACCAAAATATTACTAGGAGTTATCTCTGAAAAGTACAGTTAGGAGTTACATTAATTTTTTTTCTTACACTTTATTGGCTTTTTCTTCAATGAGCACCTCTCACTTTAAAAATATGTATTTAAAAGGCACTATTTCAAACACAAGGTATGTGAATGACAACTGGGACACCCTTGATCCTGTAGTTCCTGAAAGGCCACTGGGAGTTGTGAAACTGAAGTCTGCCTCTCTGTGTTTCCCACTGCTTCCCAGTAGAACAACTGAAAGGGCCAGTTATAAGAACTGTGACACAGTCTTAAAAGATATTATGCCTTCAAAATACAGGGAACCTCATTAATAGGAAATAAAATTTAAATACGTGTCATTTTTACCCCTTGGAAAGTCCTTTTTTTTCAAACTTCCTCTAAAAGGTGAGTCTGGGTTCCATCTGTTCATTAGTTAAACACAGTTCCACGGAAATTATTTTGAAATAGAAGTAAGAAGGCACTCCACAATAGCTTCAGAAGTTCGGCTCTGCTGAATAGGATCAGTGCATTTCTACGAAGTCACAGACAGCGCACATGTCACTTTCTATGGTTCTGCTTTATGTGGTTAGTGTGGGGGCTTCAGGCTTGGCTCTGTTGAGAGAGGACTTGTTCATCTTGGGCCCAGGTGTGTTCTACCTTAACCTTGTCCCTAAAAACACCCAGAGCAGTTATAAGAGACAAATTCACCACAAGGATCATAGGGACCCCCTCCTCTGCTGTTCTAGGGCTCAGACTTCCTCTGGGAGTCCTGGGCTCTGCTTCTTAGCCCCCAGGGTGGCCCAGTGTGGCAAGGGGGTGACACCGAGGTCTCCCTACGTAACCACACAGGGAGTTAACTACCAGCCCAGGCTACTGACTCACTTTCCCTCGGCCCAGTTAACCCACAAATCAGGCTTGTTGAGACATGAGTTCCTCTTTCTAGTTCTTTTATTCTCCCACAAAGCCACACCAGAACTCCCTCGGCCACTGCTGACTCATGGTGTCCCATCTTCCTCTCTTCCCCAAGTTCCACTCTTGGTCTCAGATCAAAACAATTCCTCAAAGCTGGACTTTCTTGTTTTCTACTTGCACAATGTTCCCTGCATTTGTCTCCCCAACTCAAACACATGCCAGAACAAATGTCAAAAAAGATGTCTCAGCCATCCTTTACTCAATCCCCTTTTATAAAACGCCTGGAATAGGGTTTTCCTAAGAGCCTAAACATCTTCCCAACTTTCCTTCGTTCTCTCCCACTCCTAAAACACAGCAGGACCACCAGGTTGTAAGGTAACACAGGATGGTCATTTCCATGTCCAAATCTTAACATCTCTTCCACATAATCAGCAGCACATCTAAGGCTCAGCCACATTAACCTGACACTGGACAAGGGCAGATGAAGGCTACTTTAAATACACAACAGCTGGGGTAGTTTTTGTTGGTGCTGAGGTAGGGGTACGTGTGCTTGCGTGCTATTTAGAGACACAAAGTAGCAACCAGAGTTGTAATATCTATAGCAGACACATATTAACACATAGACTCAAAGTTTAGGCATTTCACACTTTTTAAATTTGTTTTGTTTTGGTTTAGTTTTCTATTTGGACTCAGCACCAATAAGTCATTGGCTTAGCAAATGACTCCAGTTGTTTCCAAAAGCTGCCCCACCAACCAACTTAAACAATGCCATTCTACAAAGCAGTAAATAAGCATCTTATAAATAGGGAGAAGGAAAAACAGCTACAAAGCAAATGTTACTGAAATCCAACAACAGGGCTAAGTACTGGATAACATGTCATCTAGGACAAAAAAAATCAGGCTAGCACAGGCCTTCTTACACTCCAAAACGCCAGTAAAGTATAATAATGGCCATAGACAGCTAATGTTGGGTAATTAGCCATGGAGGAATTACATCCAAATGGAATGTCCTTGATGGAGACGTTAAGGTGTTTTCATTGCCCCACACGTAATGCTGAATTCACATAACCTGTATATGTCTGCATTTCTCAGGAATCCAAAATGCTATGCCCTGGGAAATGACATATTTGTTTTGCTTTGAGGAAAAGGTTTTACCCAAACTGGTTTTGTACTAGGGTAGGATCTTGCACCTGATTTCCAGGTTTCAAGAGAACCTACTGAGCAATGAGGTTTCCTAAATCAAAAGACTGATATTTCCCCACAGCCTAAAACATAATCAGAACCTTAAATGAAATGTTGGATAACACCTAAAATTGTCAGACTATCTCTTCTGCGAAATAATTTTACAATTGCCTTTTTCTCAGGATTGCCTATTCCGTCTATAATGAACCAACCTTACTCAGATTTCCTTTGTGTACAAAACAAAAGAATGTGTTTTCTTGATCCTGAAAAGTCTGAATATATTTGACTCTGGATTTCTAAGCCTGAGCAGGAAAATGTATTAATTTTTAAGGATTCTAAGCAATGATTTTTGTTAGTATTACATAAAACTGAGCAGAATTGTGGGACTGTGTGTATATGTGTGTGTGTATATATATATATATATATATATATATGCATCAGACTAGATTACTTGATAATAACCTGTTGCTCCTGAAATTATGTAACTAAAAATAATTACACCTAAAGTCATCCAGAATGCCATAAATTTCATGAAATGACACAGCAGGTAAATTTATTTCTCCTACTCTTACCTTCCACACAAACAACAATAATGTTTCCAAAGATGACTACCACGAGCAAGAACAGGAAGAAATTCTTATCACCCTATGAGCAGATAAATTGGGGGTGTGCACCAAAGCGTTATTGAGGAGGAAAATTGGGGGTGCCATAGAATATGCTATACTGTTAGAAAAGGTAAAAAGCAGTCATCCAAGACTCCTCACCATTTGCTCCCACACCTGCAATTCTCAGAACACCACTTTTCTCTTTGATCTCCTGAGTCTCATATTTCACTTCTCCAATATTACAGAGTTTAGGCACACTCAACTTTTTTCTTATTTTGGGTTTTTATTGAGTCAATGCTACTCTTTCTGTTTCCCTTTTTAGGTTATATAATAAAAGGACAAATGCTTATTACAAAATAAAATTTTAAGCCCAGAAACAACTTTATAAGGTAAAAAGTAAAAGCACCTTCTTCTCTTCACCACCTGAACCCACTTCCTTCAGGATGCCACTGTCAACAGTTTGAAGACAACAAGGTATACATGTGCCTGCATGCAGGTTTAAATACATAAATCTCCTCTGCAATTTCCTTTTTTCACCTACCACATCTTGATTTTTCCCAAAACAATGTGCCAAAGTAGTTAACAGATACATTTACACCTACTGCACTTCTCTTTCCCTACAATGATATTGCTAAAAAGATTTACTATCAAAAGAAGTCAAACAAAAAAATCTGTCACCCTATATACTAAATATACTTGCCTTAACCTAAAAATGGTGAGAACAGGTAAACATACATGCATTAATATATATGTACTACAAATATACAGATTATCTTATACAGATAAATATTAACATATTTAATATATCTATATTGAAATGAAATCAATTTTCAAAGGCAAAAAGAAAAGGAAGGCACCTAGATAGGGGGTGAGGTTTAATGGGTCCTGAATAGGGAGGGACACTGTGTGGAAATTTCCTGGGCTTTGAAGCCAGAGACACGTGGTCAAATCTAACTTCACCTCTTACTGATTATGTGGGGTTTTTTTAGTTCCTTAACCCTTTGAGCTTCCTTTTCATCATCCACAAGATGGGAAAGACTTGTCTTATAGGGATTTAGAAATTCTTGAAGAGGATATCTTGGATATACTGAGTGCTCAAAAAATGTCTTATTACTGTTAATAATCCAGAACTATACATGGTAGACTTGGTGATTTGATACCTCATATCACCAAATACCTGCAAAACTTGCTGTTTCATTTATTTTTGTGTTTTGGTTTGCCTTCATGTTTTTGTATTTACCTTATTTGTATAGAAACAGAAAGTGCCTTAGAAATAAATTACAGTAAATACTCAGCAGCTTTAGTGCATTATTGAGATATGATCCTCTCTCCTCCTACTTCTCCAGAGTGTCTTGCACTCCGCTCAGTAGCACTGTCCCAGCCTAATGGCAATCCTGTTTTCCTTCCTTCTGGTAAACTCAAGCCATCTGACTGCCACGGAAGAACTGAAAACATCTTCCATGTCCGCTGACGACCAGCAGCTTAAAGTATCAAAAGCCGACCTTCCCAATGAGGTGTCTTCCTATCCTCTCCTTCTACTTAACAAGGCCATCAATGACGCATACACCTTTAGCAGACTTGTGACCCTGTCTTGGGGAAGGGATGCTCTGCAGACACCAGGGACCTACCAAATACACATCTGCTTTTATCACATGTTGTTGGTCAACTACACATCCACCCACCCTTTACATTCATTTATACTGAAGGGGTTAGATTTCCACAAAATCCTAATTAGGGGGAAGCTTGGCCACTATACTATCCAACAATCTCCTTTTACGCCTGAGAAAACTGAGGCTCAGGAAGACGTGACATGCCCAAGGCCATACACATATTTAGACATCAGTTGGGATCAAAACCTCAACTCTTTAGGGTTCTTTCCTACTACTGATAGGCAAGGTTTTATCTGTTCCAGTAGCTCTGTAAAGCGTTAAATATTTCTGGATGAAAGAAAATGTCTGTGGTTGTGAATGCGTGTGGGAGAGAAATGCACCGTGTGCCGGCCTTAAGGGTACTTAATCCACCTGTCTGTCCACGTGGGAAGGGGATAAATGAGGGGGAAAGCAGCATTTGGAATTTTTCACCATCCTACTTACATTTACAGGAGGCTGTGTAGGGAACAAATAGGACCCAAAAGGACTAGAAACCTCTACAGCTATCTCAAAATGGCTATAGGGACATATCAGACCAAGCTTAAGTAAAAAAGCATGGAGGTGGGGAATCTATCCTAGGATGGCAGCAGGCAAGGGAAAGAGGTTTTGGGGTTTTTTTCTTTTTTTTTCCCCCTGTATTTATTCACCTGGGGAAGCAAACGCTGTCATTTCCTCCTCTTGCCACACAAGTGGCCACGTCCTTGTACTCGGGCTGTCTGGTGATTCTCGCCTCCCTCTTTCTCCCGAGATGTTTATGGCAAGGGCGCGAGTCGCGCGGGCCGAGAAGGGCCTGGACACTGGGGCCCAACCCTCACCCCGCACCCCCGGCTGCTGCCGGGGCCGGGGAGGGCTCCCTTGGGCAGCGCCTTTGTTTTCCCGACTCCAGTTACGTTTGCGGAAGTGCTGCCGGCCCGGGCGCGGGGGGGGGGTGCCGGCTGTAGCCTCCCCCAGCGCCCCAAAAAGATGACAACCGACGCG